CGTGAAGCTTTCGGTCTACCTCCGTGACACGTGACTCTGTGGCTGAAATGGGGCCTGACACGTCACGGTGAGTGAGGACAAGTGAGTGCAAGGTGCAAAGCGTACGTAAACAGAGTCAAAGGCATTGAAGTTCGAATCTTTTGCAAGACACGTACCGTAACGCGTTGGCAAGCGTTACAGGTCGAGAAAGCACATCCCGGTTTTACGTAATTTCTTCAACGTTAAACGGTAGGGAGAGGACGACGAGTCTTCACCGACTTGGCAAGAAGTGGGAATTGAATTGATGAATCGATGTTGGTCGCCAGACGGTTTTCGAATCCGGCACAAGCACCATGCGGTTGAACGCGGCACGGAAACGGTAGACCCCCGAATGACCTCACGTTCGGATTGAACTCTGAGTGACTGAAGTGAGAGTAAGCGGCACCGATGCGGTAAAAGTTGGGCAACCAGAACTCGAGCAATGTTTTTCCGTTTATCGTTTGCCGTCTGGCACCGAAATCAACGTTCTGCTCCACTTGTGCACGAAGCAGCTGCTCTACAAACACAGGCGAAACTCTCATGACGACGACGACACTACAACTGACTGACGTTGCACTGGTTACCATGCTAGCAAGCGCCAGATCTGCTTTTCATCGTCTTACAGTAACTGACAAATTACGACTGCCATACGGTGTTTTCATATTGAGTAACTCGCGACTGTTCCGAGACCGGATTTCACGGCTAAACGGCATGCACAGTCGCGTGAGTGGCCGTGGATGAGTCGCGCATTATTCGACATATTTCGGCTACGAGAAATTTACTGTATGCATATTAGGTACTGTATCCCCTATATCAACACTTATTCGAGAAAAGAGCCGATCGCGAGTAATAAAATCGCCGATGACGTGGCAATCATCGCGACTGTCACGCCGTTCGAAAAATAGACGACCATAGCGCTACCGTGAAGACGGTAGAACAGCATGATTGTGATCTACGCCTCGTTATAAATTATTCAGCATGTGCCGAACGCAATTCGTAGGGAACGATATCCGTTTTGCGACTCTTCGAGTGTTCCATAGTAAGAAAATAACACCTGCATCACAGGAGGTAAGTATTTTGGATGTTGAGGTGTTGTTAGACTCAAAATTACACACAAGCACCTCAGTGATCTCAAAGATAGTCTGGAGTCGCTTAATCAGGGTGAATGTAGCAAAGAGAGGCTAGCATGAATTTGTGGAAGCTAATATACTGTCGCCGGCTACCTCTGCAGGGTCGACAACTATTCCTCCAATTAGTAAAACACGGTATTGCTTGTCATACGCTGTGTCCTAGACGCAGACAGTCCCGAGTATCGGGAAGGGGCCAGGTAAATTTTCGACCTCTAAGGAAGCGAATCTTTGAACATATGGCATCGCTGATAGTTCGATCTGTAAAAAAAATTCAAATCACAGCTTCGTGTATTTTGTTGCTCAAACGAAGGACCGGGAACGAGGCTTGGATTTGCATCGAGGCATAATGAAGGAACAATTGTCCTCTTTCGGACCCAGGTGGCCTCAACAGACGTGTAGATTGAGAAAATGAGTTTGGCCTTGTTACACAAACCGGCTGAAGAGAAATCTTCCATTCGAGCCCATCAGCGTCTCGTGTGGGAGCCACTACACAGTTATTACAAAGCAGGAGGCTAGCGTGCAGCCTGGAGGAACATCATGGAGGCATATCTGCCTTACAAGAGAGTATTTATT